GCCACCTCACATATTATATGATTGTATTATTGCTAGAGACAAATTTCATGTCTGTATAAGTAGCGTAATGTCACTCTACTTATAGATATCGATATGATAATTTTTATTATTCAATTAAAATGCATTATTAAGAATAATTTGAATCAGACAAAGTATTTTTTATACAGATTTTAGGGCATAAATTAAGATTATAATATTTTCAAGTACTTTTAACTATTGAAAAATATTGGATTTTAATGTGCAAGCTTAATTTGCTTATAACTTTGTAAATGTTAATTATTGTAATAAAACGGATACTCTGAACTGAAGATGACTATCTTAGAAACATGATCAAAATTCGTTTCATTGATAACAACTTATAATGCGGTGTTTATCCTACAAGAATGAAAAATTTATTAACGAACAAACTTCCACGCAGCAGAGCTAACCGTCGGTCCGTTAAGCACGTAGTTATACGTGTATTCGCCTTTACGTTTGATGATTTCGTTTCAGTGTCTTCCTTCCAACCGAGTTGAACTCACCTTAAATCACTTGACTTGTGACACTCGATCTATCTTCAGTATGCATGACTTAATGCTTAAATCACCTAATCCCCTAGACGAAATCGAATTATGACTTAAGCCTTTATAGATCTATTAAGCTAATAGGAAATGAAATGACGTAAACGGCAAATAAAATTAACAAAGTTTAATTAATAAAAACTACAGTCTTTTACGGCCCGAAAGACTAACGCACGCGAATAGGATTCACAATTATTGATTTTAATTTGGTGAGAGAGAGAGAGAGAGAGAGAGAATTCGAAAATTGCCGTGAAATTTAACGCTTGGCGCGAATACACAAATTACGCTCGCGATTGATAAGATACTTTCGAAAGTATTTTGTCGCGCAATAATAAAGGGAGGTGCACCTACCCTGCGGTGCAATTACGGTGATCAGCCGTAATTGTTGTTGAGAATCAACGGTCGATGCTTTTCGAATATTAGCTGCGCTGCTGCCTCGCACAAAATTCTGCTGCTGCTTGCTGCTGCTTTAGATGTTGCCGCTGTGATACTCTCTATCTGCACTCGCACGTATTTAGCAGTCCCAGGAAATCTTTTGATTTACGAAATAACGGCGAAACACAGTGCAAAACTAAATTAAGGTGATACTCTCGCGAAAGCAGCTGAGGCTTAACTGCCTATTTTCAAAACCTCGCGCGACCTCTCTCTCTCTCTCTTAGTCGTTCGAACTAACATCGCGACTAAACGAATCGCGAACGGATTGATTAATCGAATCGACTACCGTTGTAAACTTAATTATTATTATTATCAATAAATAAACAATTAATAATTTATTTAAGCAAATAAGAGTATATGAATCGAAAGGGTTAATTCTCTACATAACGACAACATTGTTATAATTTATTAATTTTAATTAACCGATTTTATATTTACATTATAAGATTTTGCAAAAATACGACAATTGATTATTGTTCAAATATTATGGTAACTAATTTAAGTAATTCTTTTTTAGAATTATATCTAGAAGCAATAAACTATTTTTATATGTGAAAAATTCTTGTTAATTTATTGTAAATTGTGCACTATTGTATTAAACTAACTTCATTAGTTAATAATTTTTAACTTCGATTTTTGCGATAAGTGTAAATGATGCTTAAATTATCTATATCAAATTTGTATTTTTTACACGATATAAATTTTCTTTAGCGCTGTCTATTTTCTTGAAAATAAGAAAAAATGATTTTTCACACTTGCATAAACAGCGTGAAGAGGATTTTATTACGAAAACGGACGGGAAAATTTGTATATAAATAAGCTGAATTTTCCACAGGCTGGTATTTTCTCCTAGCCTTGCAAAGTGAGCGCTCGAGATTGAATAAACTTGGCTTATACCTAAGTTGTTTCTCTCTAGTGATTAGCTGCAATCCTTTCCTTTCCTATTGTGATTTACGCTCGACTCATAGAACATTTCGCGCGAGAAACTTGAGCTGAATCAGATCCTCTCAAAGAAAAGACTTAAGCTCTATTTATGGAACACTTTGCGCCATAAGAAACTAGAGTAAAGTCCATGCTTAATTATATTTCAAATCATCATATATATATTTTTTTTATTACATAATTTTTCAAATTCAATACTTTAGAATTCAAACGAATTCTTACTTATCAACGCGACAACCATGGGAGTACGAACAATATAAAATAAAAGGTGATAGTAACATCACAAGGCCGTAGTTGCGTCATTTTTGTAACATACCTGCATGTGTGGTATAGAGTAGCGTGTACTGCACCTGGTTGAGTGCAAGGTTCTAGCCCGTTTATTTTAATAAGATCGAGTATTATTGTGAACGCGATGACTGACTCCGCAACGCTATAGCAAGAACTGGCGACAGCTAAAGCCAAGTTTACACGAATAAAGCAAAACCTCGAAACCGCGTTAAACACGAATAGTAATGGCAGTGTTTTCAACGCGAGTACGGGTTGGATTGATACAGCGGAATCCAAAGTCCCTAAAATCATTGTATCAGATATACATATATGATTATTCCAGGTAGAAGTTACTTTCCGTCGTTCGCGCATTACGGAAGATGCGACGAAGTTTGATTATATCTAATAGTGGCCTTAAGCGAGAATGCAAATGCATTCAAATGTGTTAAACCGATTATTAAATGTCTCCCACCCTTTCGGGGGACGCATTTTAGCAGGCGAAAACTAAGTTAATTGCGCGTTTTGCTCCATCGAGTGAAGAGAATTATAAATCTGTTTTAAAAGGCCTGATGAACGCTAATACTAAATCGAGGTTAATTTCAAATCAGCTACGAGATTTAAACGATGCTAAGCTTGACGATAATATTTTAAAAACTATTTTTTTCGACTGTTTGCTACAACAGCATCGCAACAACATTTCAACTATCGTTATAGCCAAGGAAGACCTCAATACGTTAGGCACTTTGGCAGACAAGTTAGCATTACAAAATGACACCGTTTTTGCGCAAATGTCAGCAATTTCCCTGCAGAAATCATCTGCGATTACAGACGAGATCAAGAAATTAGGAGAATAATTACATAACATTTTTAGCGTTATGGATCAAATAAAAAAAGATGTAGATAATAATTAACAGAATAAAAGTAAGGCGCAACGTAGTAGATACCGCAGTAGAAAACAAGCAGACCTTTGTCCTGCGCACATAAAATACTCGCATAATCCTACCTCGTGTAGCTGGTGGTGCACATAAGTTAAGTTTGGACATAAGTTAAGTTTGGACATAGTTTGGAGTTCTTGTTTAGCCGACGTACCGTATTCTATCATAGGCGCGGACTTATTGTTTCATTATAATCTATTCGTAAATTTACATAAACGGCGTCTTATTGACTGCACTTCTAGACGTTAATCGTTGGGCGTCATAACTGAAACCTCTTATCACTCCATTAGTACTACGTTAATTCAATGCAAGTGTAAGCAAATTCTTGCGGAGTTCCCCGAGCTTACGGGATTAGAAATGTAAGGTCCGACTGGCGATTATCATCACATTATAACCGAAGGTCCTCCCATTTCGGCTCGTGCTCGTCGTATGTTTCCGGAGAAATTAAAAGCCGCGAAAGCTGAATTTAAAGTGTGGATAAAAGCTGGGATTTGTCGGCCACCGTCCATTCCATGGGCGAATTCCCTGTATTTCGCACCGAAGGCCAACGGTTCTTGGCATACGTGTAGCGAATATCGCGCTCTAAACGTGTGTACGAAGCCTGACAGATACCCAACCCCGAATTTAAGCATTAGGCGATTTAGATTTCATATTCATTCACATAGATGATTTTTTGATTCTTTCTAAGTCAATTGAATAGAATTACGAGCATTTGCGTATTGTTTTTGAAAGGTTACGGAAGTTTGGTCTTCGGTTAACCCTTTCAGGGGCGGGTGCCAGTATTCTGGCACCCTATTTTTCCTCAGTTTTTTCTTTATAGCTTGAATAATCTGAGCTGTAGATCGTTTTAATCTTTTTTGTTTGAACACTGGATGCTTAGGGAACAGGTTTCTTAGGTCAAAATTCAGAATAGCACTATATATAATTCTTTATAAACAATTAACAAACAAAATAGGAGAGATTTTTAACGAAATTTGGTTTTGAGGTCATTTTACGACTAAATTCGCTGATATTTGGTGTACGGGGGTCTTCAAGGTCACTGATTACGAATCCAGTATCAGATTTTGGAAATTCAAAATAGCAGATCCAATATGGTGTCTTCGTCGCAAGAAAAGTTCACAAAATTCAATTATTTCAGCTGGTACTGCCTGCACAAGGGTTTTTGTGGTTGCTGATTACGAATCCAGTATCAGATTTTGAAAATTCAAAATGCCGGATCCCATATGGCAGCATGATTGTAAGGAAAATCTAAGAAATTCAATTATTTGAGCTGGCATCTATGTAGGGGTTTTTGAAGATGCTGACTGTAAGGAAAAATCACAAAATTCTGTTATTTTAGCTGTTATCACTTGTTTTAGAGGTCACTGATGATGAAATGAGTCTTGGGCGTAGAAAGCTCAAAACGGTGGTTCAAATATGGTTGTAAAGTTTTCATAAAATGTACTTATTATTATGTATTTCTTTTCGGATAGATATTTGATTGCATCCGATTATCCCAATAGGATGGATAACATTTTTTTATGACGATTTTTAGTACACTAGAAAAAGAATATCTGAGAAAGAAAAAACAAGCTTTCATGTATGTGAAATTATGTCCGTGTTAGAGATCATGTTTGAGTGGCGGGCTAACGGTTAAAATAGTGTGATGATAGTTTTCAGTTTGTCATATATTCCTATTTGATTAGTTAAATAAAAGAGGCAAGCAATTTCGATGAGTCAAGAAATTTTGGCCGTATTAGAGATCACGTTTGAGTGGCAGGCTAACTAACGGTCAAAATAGTGTGATCCTAATTTTAACTTTGTATTGAATTTTCTTATTGATTAGTTGAATAAAAAAAAAACAAATAATTTTCAATAAAAAATGAGTGACTCTGAAGAAGAATATGAAGGAGATCAAATCCCATCAGGCGATGAATCTATAGATGGAAATGACATAAGCGATGAAGAAGGTTGTCACCTGAATGTAGACTCTGGAAAACATTATGAGAATGATTCTCGTAGGTTCGAAAACAGTAAAATTTCATCAGATGAAACTTGGTCAAACCAATCTTTACCTTTCTATAACTTACCTTTCACGCAGAACGTTGAGCCAAAGAATATTCCTGATACTGTCAGAACACCTTGGGATATTTTCTTGATGCTCTTATCGGTAGAAAATATCGAAAACAGGGTTCAACAAACAAATCTATATTATCAATAGAATAAAATGACGTTCCCGTGACTGCAGATGAGATAAAGAAATTTATTGGAGTGAACAGAATGATTAGTGTCAAATGTTTACCGTCTTATCGTCATTAATGGTCTTCAAATCCTCAGTTGAATGATGCTTACATAAGCACGTCAATGCCGGTTAAAAGATTCTGTTTTCTGCTTAGTAATTTGCATTTGAATGATCAAACTAAAGAACCTAAAAAAGGAGAAGCTAATTTCGACAAATTATACAAAATAAGGCCATTTATTTACAGAATTTCTGAAACTTATACGCAATATTATGATCCAACCAGAGAGCAATCTATAGATGAAAGCATGGTAAAGTTCAAAGGCAGAAATACTATGAAACAATACATGCCTCAGAAACCCATAAAACGAGAATATAAGATATGGGTAAGATCAGATATGAATGGCTACGTATGTGAATTTCAAATTTAGACGGGAAAAATTAATAATGTTACCGAGAAAAATTTAGGAGAAAGAGTTATCATGAGTTTATCTCAAACTCTGAAACATAAAAATTACTATATCTATTTTGGCAATGACTTTACAAGTACTAATTTGATGATAACATTATTGAAAGTTGGAATTTCTACCTGTGGGACAATTCGAAAGGAGAGAAAAGGTCTTCCTAAAAATACATGAAAAGTTAAAGACATGAAGATGGGTGACAGCGAATACCGTACGTCAAATGAGGGCATCAGATTATTGAAAAGACAAAAAACCAGTTCATTTTTTAGCAAATTTTCATCCGATTTGTCTGAGGTAGAGAGAAGACAAAAAGATGGTTCATTGAAGACTATAGCTTGCCCTCAAATGGCGAAGGATTATAATGCTCATATGGGATGTGTTGACAAATCAGATCAGATGAAATCATTCTATGAAATCACAAGAAAAAGTAGAAAATGGTGGCACCGCTTACTATGGCACTTCATAGATGTCACTCTTGTCAACTCTTTTATAATTTTCAAATTACTCAATCATGATAAAGATTTGAAATTGAAAGAGTTTCGTTTATTAGTTGTAGATGAGTTTACAGGATCCAAGATATGATGTTGAGTGATAGTAGGTTAAAATTGCGGGAATTAGTTGAGGCTACAGGGATATCAAAGGGTACAATCATTTCAATTTTGCATGAAAAATTGGTGATGAAAAAAATATCAGCAAGATGGGTGCTGCGTTTGCTCACTGTTGAAAAAACAAACCTGCGTGGTCACCTCTGAGGCTCTTTTGGCACGCATACGTCGTAATCCGGAAGACTTTTGGCGTCGACTCGTAACTGTAGAAGAATATTCCAAACAATGGATTACCGCAGGAGACCCAGCCCCAAAGAAGGCAAAGACAGTAAAGTCAGCCGGCAAGATTATGGCCACGGTTTTCTAGGATGTGTATGGAATCATCTACATCGACTACTTGGAAAAGGGCCAGACAATCACTGGACACTATTATGTGTCATTATTAGGTTAGCTGAAAGAAAAAATCAGAGAAAAATGTCCTCACTTGAACAAAAAAAAATGCCTTTTTCTTCAAGACAATGCTCGAGTTCACACGTGTGCAGTTTTAATGGCAAAAATTAACGATTTAAAGTTCGAATTAATTGACTATCTACCATATTTGCCTAATTTGGCTCCCAGTGACTTTTTCTTATTTTTAACCTTATTTCTTATTTCTTATTTCCTAACCTCAAAAAATGGCTTGCCGGACAACGATTCACGTCGAATGAAGAAGTCATCGCCGAAACAAATGCCTATTTCGGGGTTTTTAGAAATCATATTTTTCTGATGGCTTAAAAAAACTGGAAGGCCGTTTAATAAAATGTTTCGACCTTCAAGGAGTATATGTTAAAAAATAAAAAAAAATTACACACGCAAAACTTTTTTTTCCTACTTTTTGTAAAGACTTATTGACCCCCCTCGTAATTACAAATATATGTAACGAGTAGAAAATTTTCTAGAATGCTGAAATCAGAATTAGCGAGTCCTCCGACTGTCATATAATAAAAATTATTTTCTAATTTCAAATGTTTCACCAGCCATTATGCATCCGCAATTTTCAATTTTGAAAATAGGAGTTCAGAATCGTAATCAACGACCCCAAAAACCTAAGTATACAAATTTTAATTTATATAAGCTAATGTTTGAAAATGATGTACGCCATATTAGATCCGCTATTTTGAAATTTTGAAAATTAGACTTCAGATTTGTAATCAGCGACCCCGAAAACCCTTATATACACTTTCATGTCTAGGATAAGTGCAGCAGAAAAATTTGCCCCTGTCAGGGGTAAATTTTGATAAGTGCGTTTTCGCACAGGAAGAGGTAGAGTTCTTGTGATACCTGATCAATATCCAAGGCATGAAACTGATTCAGTCTAAGGTAGAAGCACTTGTAAAATTTCCCAAACCTAACACAATTTCCCATTTACGAAAGTTTTTAGGAATGGTAAATTTTTATCATGATCGCCTATCTAAAACGTCGGAAACGCAAGCTCCTCTAAACGTGTATTTCAAAAATTCTAAGACAAATGATTATCGCGAAATTGCTTGGATACCTAAAATAGAGGTAGCTTTCGAAAATGTTAAAAACGAACTTGCCGGCGCTGTTTTATTCGTTGACCCCCGAACTGACATAGATCTTCGCATCGTCTGTGATGTTTCCGATAAAGCGATTGGCGGAGCGTTTGAACAGCTATCTTCCGAGGAGGATGGGTGCGTTTGTTGGAAACCTTTAGCGTTTTTCTCACAAAAACTTTCGCCACGGTAATGCAAGTATAGCCTATACGACCACGAACTGTTAGCAGTTTACGAGTCTATCAAATACTTTGAATACTACGTAAAAGGTCAAAACTTTAAAATACTAATTGACTATAAACCACTTATTTACGCTTTATTTACGCCCAGAGAAAGCTTCCCTTCGATAAACATGTCAACTTTGATATATAGCTCAGTTTATAACACAATCGAGCATTTCAAAGGCTCAGATATCGTAGTAGCTGATTTCTTTTCTAGGATCGATGTACTCCCTCGATTTTTCTATATAAAAGTTAGCTACTCTTCAAAAGCAGGATGCAGAGCTGATACAACATTTAAAAGCTCCTCATAAAAGCTATTCATTCAAAGTCTTTCAGTGGGGTCCTGACCATACCCAACTTTATTGTGACATAAGTGGCAATTCAATCCGTCTGTACATACCAGTAGCTTGGTAACGTACTTTTTTAACAGGTTAAGAGCGGCTATAATGTGTCATAATGATTCGAACTGGACGCGCACGTTATCAACAGTTTCGTTAGGTTTACACTCTCACGTTAGAGAAAATACTCAAGCATCATCGGCTGAGGTTCAATTAGGCACAAAGTTACGTGTACCGGACGAATTCTTCTTCGCGGGATTATCATCATAAAAATTTATTTTATCATAAAAATAATATTTTAGTTTAAAGATTTACATAAATGTAGTCATGTAATCATGTGTAATATGTCAGCTACAATATTAGAGAGACCATATACAGGCGCCTTATTTTATAAAACATGATCAGAAACGAGTGATAATTCGGAAAATCAAAACTCGATGCCGAGCTCTATAAAGATAGATAAATCTTCAGTTGAGCAACCAAAAAATAAAACATATAAATAACAGAAAAATAACGTTTAATGAAAAAGTAGATGTTAAAACTTTTTAAGAAAAACAAAAGTCTTAATATTGTAACTATAACCTTACAGGTTAAGTTGTAAGTGCAAATTTCTATTATAAGGAAAAGGTTTATCTTCGTAATACATATTTTATAATTTTATAAACTAAAAATTAAAAATTGAATTCCGTTGTTCTTTATCGTTAGCTCTCGGAGGGGAGTGTGTAGGAATATGTATCTCAGTCTCACGCCAACATGAGCGTGGTGTGGGTAACTTCTCCTTTCCCGCTACTTAATGTAAAAGACTGGCTCTCAGTTTTGCTGTGGTGCATGACTTATAAGCATTGCAGCCTTTGGCACTAATAATAATAAGCTCTTGTTACAGTTATCTTTGGTTAGTTACTGTATGAGTGGGCACACGTATACCACGTCCCCTCATAATTTATGTTGTACCAGTAAGCGTCACTATTAAATAGTACTACCGAAGTTTCAGCCAGATCCATCAAGTAGTTCCGTTTTTATCGTCAATCACAGTGAACAACTTTTGTTTTTGTTAACAATGGAAACAAGTGAGTTCCGAGCCGTGATAAAACATTTCTATTTGAAAGGTCTTATACCTAAAGAAATCAAAGCTAAGTTAGATGCAGTTCATGGTCTATCTGCCCATGTGTTTACAACTGTTTATAATTGGGTAAATGAATTTAAACGTGACCGTACATCGACTGCAGATAAACATCGTTCAGGCCGTGTTGTAGACGTAAGTACTCCGGAAATGATTAATAAAATCCACGAAATGATTTTAAATGACCCAAGAATAAACTTACGCGAAATAGTTGAGGCCACAGGGGTTGTGTTTCAAAAGGTACAGTAATTTCGATTTTAAAGAAGATTATGTTAAAAAATCTACCAAAAAAAATTGTTTTTCTATCTTTTTCGAAGTACTTATTGACCCACTCTCGTATGCAGGTTTAGGCAGGTCTGTGACGTACGACCAATTAGCATTCTTCGTCGCACGCTGTCTAATAAGTAGGTTAAGTGGGGATGCAGTAGAGCGACAGCGAGCGGTGACAAGGAAGTCGGCAGAAAGAAAGTGTATGTTGTGTCGGTAGAGAGCAAGGAAGCAGTTGAGAGCAAGCAAGAGTGTCTGTTGCAGTTGCCGAAAGCATGAGCAGTAAGGACAAAGTACGTGCAGGTCAACTTCATCGTCAGCGACTAAGTAGCCAATTGGACAATGTAGCGTCGCCAGCGGTAACGTCTTGCCAGGGCCCAGAGGGAAGAAGATGGTCTCGCCAGCAGCAGTTTACCTCCTTGTAGCCGGCAGTTCAGCGTCCAGCAAGGTCAAGCGTTCCTTTTCTCTAACTATTTCTCTCTCTCTCTCTCTCTCTCTCTCTCAGATTTACAAGTTAGATTAAGTATAGCAATACTCGGTAGTCAGGTGTTTACTCGTCATTTATCGAGATTCTCTGTACGAACACCGGCTCTTATAAAACGCATACTACCAAGGTGACCTTGTTGCCTTACAATCCGCGCCTTGTTGATCTTCGGTAGTAATCATAAGGTCTACGGTAAGATATATAAGTTAATGTGTTATTAATTGTTTGTATTAGTAGTAAGTCTTGCGAGTTAGTTTGTTTGTATGGTTTATGCCTATAAAATTTATGTTAACTTTCGAAAGTTTATACGTGAAATCATTTCTTGACCTATCTTCCTTCCCCTCCCCCTTTTAATAGTTGAGAGTAAAAATGCCTCTCTTGTCCCTTATTTCAAAGAATTAATGACAAAGCATGTAGGTGACGTGATAACTTTGTTACA